CCCAATTATTTTGCTCAATGTTATTCCTGATTCTTATAGTGATGTCAAATATGCCATCAAGTATGGTAGAGATGATGTTACTTTAGATATTGTGGTTAATGGCTTAAAAAGTAAAGAATTTGATTTGAAACAAAATAGGGGTCATGGCAATCAGTCTGATGATTTTGGTGAGGCCTTGTTTGTGAGAGGTAGGTCTAAAAATAGATCTAAGAACTCCAAGAAGGAAAATCAAGATAAGAATAGTTAGAAGCCTAGTAAGAAGAGAGGTAAGTCTAAGAAAAAGGTCTGTTACAATTGTGGTAAGTCTTACCATTTCACAAAGGACTATCCCAGTCCTAAAAAGTCTGACCAGGCCAACTCTGTTGTCTCTAATGATATACATGATGATGTGTTTATGGTGTATGACTTTGCAAACTCTGTGCTAAGTGGCTTAACTGAAAATGAATGGCTTATTGACTCTGATTGCACTTATCACATGACTCCTTTTAAATCCTTGTTTTCTTTCTATGATCTCTATGATGATGGCTATGTGTCTCTAGCTGATAGTAAGAAATGCAAAGTGCATGGGGTGGGGAGCATATGTTTGAAGTTTGATAATGGGATTGTGTACATCGAAAAATGTGAGGCATGTTCCAGATCTATGTCATGATCTGTTTTCAGTTGATGCTTTTGAGGATAGTGGGTTAGAGGGAAAATGGGGTAATGGTTGCATGAAGGTTTTGGAAAATTCCTTGGTTATGTTCAAAGCTTTGAAGGTGAATAATCTGTACGTATGCCATGCTGTTCCATTCTCTGATTCTGCTAATGTTGTTTGTCCTGATAGCTCTGTGTTGTGGCATAATAGGCTAGGTCACATGAGTAACAAGGGTCTAGAAATCATGCATAAATCTGGTTACTTTGGTAAAGATTGTGTGTCTTCTGTGCCTTTCTGTGAAGCATGTGTGCTTGGTAAGCAGCATAGGGTCAGTTTCCCTAGTTCCTCCTATCCAAACCTGTCTAAGTGTACCTCTGCCTTAAAGTATGTTCATGCTGATGTCTGGGGCCCTGCCAGTATCTCTACCCATGGTGGTAAGAGATATTTCATGTCTATTATAGATGATTTCTCTAGGAAAGTTTGGGTTTGTCTCTTACAGAATAAGTTTGATGTTGTAGAGAAGTTTAGGGAGTGGAAACCCCTAGTTGAAACCCAGTCTGATCTTAAGGTTAAAGTCCTTAGAACTGATAATGGCCTAGAGTTCTGTAATAAGGAGATGAATCAACTGTGTGTTGACTGGGGATAAAAAGGCACAAAACTGTGCCCTATACTCCCCAGCAGAATGGTGTAGCTGAGGGTATGAACAGAATCTTGCTTAATAAAGTAAGAAGTCTCCTTGCCACCTCTGGTCTGTCTAAGCAATTCTGGGGTGAAGCAGTTAACACTGCTGCCTATTTGGTAAATAGATCCCCTTCTGTTCCTCTAGGAGGAAAGTGCCCTGAGTCAGTTTACTCTGGAAAGCCCTAAACTTGTCCAACCTTAGAGTGTTTGGTTGTACTGCATATGTTCATCAGCAGTTGGACAAGCTAGATCCTAGGTCTAAGAAGTGTGTCTTTCTAGGGTATCATGAGGGGGTAAAAGGTTATAGGCTGTGGGATAGAAACCAGGTGGGTTTTAAGATAGTGATCAGAAGGGATGTAATCTTCAATGAGTCTGAATTTCCCTGCCTGTCTAGTCCTACCACAAAACTAAGTTCCGAGAGTGTTCAGTTTGAGGTGGAGTCTACTCCTGCTGCATTGTTTGACAATGTTAATGATTCTGATGCTAACATGCATGTACCACCCCTTCTAGTGGGGTGGAGTCTTCTCATAAATCTGATTTACATGATAATTCTGAACAACATGATTCTATGGAGCATGATATACCTGATTTGCATAATTATCCACTTGTTAGAGATAGGCGTAGAAGGACTGTTAAAAAGGTGTCTAATTCTATGTCTGATTATGCTTTTCATGTGAATGATACCTCCCTATTTGCTTACTCTGTGTTTGAGACCCTTGAGTTAAATGAGCCCAAAACCTATAAGGAAGTCCTTATTTCTAAGGAGTCTCAGCAGTGGCTTGATGCCATGAATAGTGAGATGGAGTCTCTTAGAATTAACAAAACCTGGACCTTGGTTCCTAGACCTCCCAATTGTTCTGTTGTAGAATGCAAGTGGTTGTTTAAGGTCAAGGAAGAACCTCAGAGTGTGAGATTTAAGGCTAGGTTAGTGGCAAAAGGCTTTGCTCGATGGTGTCGATGCGTGTGTTGAGTTTCATATTTTTGATCTTCAAAGCGAAGATCCAACTTGGTGAATTGAGAGTGGAGATTCCCAATGGACGCCTCCACTCTACAATGGTTCTCTTCATTTTGGGATTTCATGTTTGCCATGCTTTTGGATATGAATTGCATCATATCTTCCATGGTGGTCACCTTAGGCTGCCCAAAATTAGGTGCTCCGGATTGGGGTTGTGGCTTCCAATTGCTCCCTTGGTTCCACCTTTGTTGATTAAAAGGATTATTGTTTCCCTGGTTCCCATAAAAGTTCATGAAATTTACCTCCTCAAGATGTTGAGATAAATCACATTCCGAGCTTTGAATGGTCTCCATATTGCCTATTTGCTTGACACCTCCCAATACGGCTTGAAGGGCCGTTTGGAATTTCTGCTCAATTTTTGACTCCATTTGTTCGAGCCTTTTGTTGATCTCAGTTGTGATAGAGATTTCATTCATCCCGACCACCTTGTAATCGCCTCCTTGAAGTTGAGGATTTGAGGCGATGGATTCAATGATTCAGAGTGCCTCGGTTTCATTCTTGTTCCCAATGTAGCCCTCGGCTTAGCTGTCTACAATGACTTGGCAAGGTGCATTCAAACCATTGTAGAAAGTGTCAATTTGAAGATCAAGGGGAATGCGGTGGTGTGGGCATTCCCTTAGCATTGATTTGAAACGCCGCCATGCGTCTTGAAAGAGCTCACCATTTTGTTGTCTGAAATTGAAAATGCGTTGTCAAAGCTCTTGAGTCATGGTGGGCGTGTAGTATTTAGACATGAAGGCATTGTAAATACCTTCCCAAGTTGTGTAGATAGTCGGAGTTTGCTCTAAGAACCATCCTCTTGCTACCCCTTTGAGAGTATAGGGGAAACATTTGAGCTTGAGATCGTCTTCGGCGAGCTTATTTCTTGGAATCCTTTGAATAAATCCATAGAACTCCGTGATAAAGTTCAGTGGATTTTCCCCTGAGTGCCCATGAAACTGAGGCATAGCGTTGAAGTAGCTATGCTTTAGTTCATAGTCTCTTGCTTCCTCGCTTAGTACAATGCAAGATGGGGAGGTTGCAACAATGGGTCTCTTCCTCTCGTTTAGTGTGGACATCATCTTTGTGGCATTTTGCTCTTTCCGGATGTGTTTGCAAGTTTTTTCTATTTCAAGATCGAGTGATTCAAGAGATTTAGAACCTTGACTTCTCACGTGCATGCAAACACAAACGAATATCTACACAAACAAAAATAAACCTCTCCAAGATCAAGTGAAGTTGTGAAGAGTAAAACTAATTCAGGATTTTTAAGTGACTGTTATTTTTTTTTCTTTTTCTTTGGACTTTATTAAACAAGACCATTTCCCCGGCAACGGCGCCAAAAACTTGACCGGGCTAAACTTGCAAGTGTACAAGTGCCGATATAGTAATAAATTCTGGTAAAATACCGAAGCCTTAGTTGTTGTTATTAATCATCTTGGATAAAACACTAAGAGGTATGCATCATGAAATCCCACCAGCAACATCTGACTTTATTGGTTGATTGAGTCTTGATCCTTTCATATTCGGGCCATGACATCTTCATAACATTTGTACCTTATTGAGTTAACATTCTCATGAAATTCGAATCGAGTGATTTCGAGTTCTCTACAATAAGTTATACTCGAATTATGGACAGAACGTCATCCTCTTGGTCCAAAAAACTCTTCATCGCAATGTTTTATGCTATAGCTCTCATTCTGAAGGTATTTGCCCGATTTCTCTTCCTTTCTTCAACAAATATTTATAAATACTTATGTTAAACACAAGTAAATATAACGGCCATCACCCCACCCAATACCCCTCCGCTCACCTCACTGCCACCCCATGCCTCCAGTGAGCTAGTCTTCACACTATAATAACGCAATCCGTCATACCTCCATGTGTTACTGTACCCAAACACCACCAACTGCATCTGACCCACCGGAAAAACCAACAAAGACTTCTTCCCAAACCCTATCGCTACCCCCAACAAGGCAATAACGACAAAACCATTGTGTGAAGTGGAATCAGCCAAAAGCCTCCAAACTTGAAGAAGAAATCATTCAAAATGCCTACGCAACCCTAGCCCCATCCATACGCAACCCTATTTGCTGCAGTATATCTAAAACTCGAGCCGCCGCAACTAGTGCGAAATTCAAGAGCTCCAGAAGTGAAAACGCAGCCCCCACTGCCGCCGATAGGAAAACACAGCCTACACTCCAGTAACATCATCGGTCTCCATCTTCAAATCTTAAGATTCCGAGACCCCATCCATCTACAACTAGAAATCAAGAAGAGGAGAAAGAAGGAAGAGAAATTGACAAACCTGTGCAAGTCTGCATCTGCGGCGACGATGCGACAATGGCATAGGTTGAACGTCGGCATCGTGGATGTGGCGTAGATGGAGACATCGGCTTGGTTGCTTGGAGATCGAAGAGAGACGGGAAAGGCCTGGTGCGGGTGATGGAAGTCATGGAGCAAGAGTAATTTTGAATATTTAGTTGAATACTGTTCTTTTTTCTTCAGATTTGAATATGATCCTATTTGTCTATCCAAAACCCATGAGTAATATTTCTGTCATTCTTTCAAAGAAAACTCATTAGTAAATATAATTAAAAATTAATTATTATTCTATTCTAGATATACTCGTGTTATCGTGCATCTCATGTATTTAGTCTAGTAACCTATAAACATAAACCTGGCCAATTCTTCCTATAAGTGCCGTCTCTAACATCGCCAGCTACCAAAGGCGAAATTGGGAGCGAAATTCCTGCTTCCGAACTGTCGGAACCAACCCGGACCCGTATCCGATAGTCAACAAACCCAGCTCCTTTCTTCTGCGATTCTCCCCGGAGGTAGAATGGTAGCTGTAGTTGAAGCTCGTCAGCTCAGCTTTCCCAAGCCTCCGCCACTTTCTCTTTCTCTCTCTTCTCCCCACGTCACATCTCTCCTCTTCGAACCGACGTTTCTCTCTCTAGCCCTCTCGCACTCCGATTCCTCTTTCTCCCTCTACCATTCTTTCTCTCCCCTTTCCCTCGCTCCCCCGTTTTCAATCCCACCTCCGAAAACCCTAGTCCCGCCGCCGGTATCCTCCGCCACCTTCCTTATCCTGCGTGACGCTAACCCCAACCCTAATTCTCTATTCATCGCTTCCTCGCCTCTCTCCGGCGGTTCTGCTGTCCTGTTCCGGTTCTACATCCTTAGCCCTGCTAGAAAATCTTTCATTAGAGCCAGAGTTTTATGCAATCACAGTGATATCCGATCGGAAGAGGGAAAATTCGGGGTCGTTTTTGGGGTCAGTCATGGGGTTTCGGTGAAATTGGCTGGGTCAGTCAATGTGTTTGCAATGTACTCGATTTCGAATTCAAAGATTTGGATTTTTTCCGTGAAGCACATGGGCAATGATGAAGTGAAATTGATGAAGTGCGCCGTGATTGATTGCTCCGTGCCAGTGTTTTCAATGAGTCTTTCATTCGGGTTCCTTATCATGGGGGAAGAAAATGGTGTTAGGGTTCTACCTTTAAGGCCACTGATTAAAGGAACAGCTAAACAAGATATCGGCTTGAGTAAGAAGAAACTGATCAATGCATTGGATCGAGATAATAAGATGGGCAATGAAAGACTGAATAGGACCGAAATTGTGGGCACTGAAACAGAATTGAAATTGAACTATGGTAGTCACTTTGAGAAGAGAAGTGATCAACATTCCCATGCTGGTGCGTGAATTACTCCATATTTCAAGACAGCTTCTTTTTTTTACTTGTTTGTTACATATTTTTGGCTCTTATATACAAAAAATGGAACTGGAACTGTTAAAAAGTAAATGCTTTATAGTAAAGTTACATTTGTAAAGTAATACTCTTTAAATAATGACACAGTCTTACAATATTGAAGAACTTATTTATAGGCCAAACAATTAAACATGTTGTCATAAACTATAGTAATATGATGAGCTATATTTTTGTAGCATATCTACACTAGTTTTGTAATAGCAATGGAGCATATATGTGGCGAAGAGGCTTTCAAATGTATGTGGCAATTTATGGCGAGCTCATTTCCACCATCACTAACTATGATCCAATTTGTCATCAAATTCAATTGACTATTATATACTGTACCTTCGTATATTTCTGTGTATCAAGCATAGTTGCATTATGTACTAATTGCATGCATTTGCACATTGAAGTTGAACCATAGACTCCTTGGTGTGAACTTATCATCTTTGAGATGCTTTGAGTTAACTTTCATGCGAAGATATTTGTAATTTTAATTTATTTGTTGTAATATTACTTGTAGCGAAGTTGAAGTCTGCGAAGTTGAGACAAGATTCCCGAGGTTGGGGTGTCAGTTATTTTGCATTCGAGCAGGTGTTTAATTTGGAATCAGTGAAAGTGCCTATAAAATCGGTCAAGGCTATAAGCATTCAGGCCTTGTCTGCAAGCAAGTTTCTGATATTGGACTCGGTCGGAAATCTGCGTATCATGTTCCTTGCCAGTTATGCCCCTGGTTATAAGATTCATGGTCACATGAAACGGTTGAGTCTCACCTTGAGAGTGCAGAGGATGGCTGTTCTTCCTGATAACTCAGCTAGTATATTTCCCGATTTCTGTGGTTTTACCTTGCTTTGAGACATTCATATTTAAGATTAAGGCTCCCTTTGGTAGCCTTGTCTTGCTAATTCTGTTTATCAACATAACTACTTTTGACTTACTTATTTGGCTGAAATGGATGTTACCATAAACTTTCCATCTGAGAACCTCATCAGATACAGTCATTTTAAGCCAAGTAGAACTACTCTAGCCTCTTATGTTGGTCAATAATGATCCATAGTATAGTTTATAATAGGAGAAAATTGTCTTCTAGCTATTTCAATATAGCTATTTAAATATAGCTATTTAAATATAGTTGGTAATGGTACTTTTTATGAATTATGTATTTTCAATTTTAAAAGAAAAAACCCGTCTTTGCAGGTACACAAGCTGTTTGGTTGTCAGATGGGCTCCACAGCATACATGTGATGGTGTTAAATGAAGCAGAAAGTTCCGTTAGTGAAATAGAAAACAAGGAGACTGATGAAATGCAAACTTCAGGTTAAGCAATCATTTGTTACTATGTTTGTTCAATTTCAGATATATGTTTTCCTTTGTATGTAGTGCTTCTGGTATTAAAAAAAACTATCAACTCACCTTAAAGCTTTAACTTTATAGCCGCTTATCATGCCTGGACTGACTTGATAATGCATCTACCCTTTCCTAGAAACACTTAATTGGGCACCTATGCAGAAATGATCTTACATCCGTTTTAAGAAATTAATGCATCTGTGTTCATCAATTCATCTTTCGTTGTTGCTGTTTTTTGGATGCTGAATGCACATATTTTGTTCTTGTATATTTTTTGAAATAGTTCCACAAGCCATATTTTCAAGCGAAATAATCCAAGAAATTGCACCTGTGACTGCAAATTCAGCCATGCTACTTGGACAAGGTAAGCTGTGAGTGAATGTAATGTTCCACACATATGTGTCCTATGTATTTTCTCCCCTTCTCATGCGAGTAGGATTAGATTTTCTGAGGGATTGATGACTTCTACAAAAACCTAAAGGCTAAAAGAAATGTTAGAGATAATAATCATGTTGTAAACATCCAGAATTTATGTCTTTATCTTCAATAATTTGTATTGTTTTTGTATGCAGGAAGCATATTTGTATATGCAATTTCCTAATTGTGCGCACTCTCTCTGTCAGTGAACTTGGTGAGTTCTCACACACACATGCGCTAACATATCATTATTTGATGTTCATAAGATTTTATCATTCCATCATAAGAACTCTGCACATATTATTGGTTTGTACTTTTGTAATTAATAACTCATCATACTGAAGTACTTTATTGGTAAATTCAATTATTCAAATCTGTTGTATCTATTAGTCCTTTAAAATTAAAACATGCTATATAACACATACTGAACTTTATGTGTTATGTGCTTTGCAGATGATGTGTGCTTCACGGAATGTGTTTTTGGGATTGAACTCTGAGCACATTTGGTTTAATGGTAAGTTTCTCAAAAAATGATACTACCCCCATCTAGGGGTGGGCATAAAAAACCGTAACCGGCATACCATACCAAAAAACTGAAAAACCGACATTTTGTTTGGTTAACCGAACCATAATTTAAAAAACACACAGTACGGTTAACCTACCGAAAGGAAAAAGTGGTTCACGCCTTCACGGTATGGTTACAGTTTTAAAATTATCCCAATGTCGGTTAACCGATAACCGGAAGTTCAAATGTTATATGATTTGTATCTGCCATAAAAAAATTAGTGCAATACATTATGTACGAGTGTACGACATGTGGTGTACTCATCTGACGGCAACCATGTTGCGATACCAAAGCCTGGGGAGAACTTACAAATTAGTGACGGTTGACATGGGGATAATTAAGGAGCAATGTTGGGGATAATTAACGAACAAAAGCAGTCTATTTTAAGCAAATAAAATACTCCGTAATAGTTATAGTGAGTAAGATACTTAGCTTCCTCTAGCTAGTTATAATGAGTGTATTACGTGGACTGCATAATAATTTCTTCTAATTAATTTATTAAGAAAAAATTGCTGTGAATTTTAAATATATAAACATATTGGCTCGATCCTACATAACAGGCTTAGGTCATATCCTCAACACCAGCATTTACGTATATATTGATCGAACAATCATTTTATTTTTTTGGCAGCTTAATTCATTTTTTTATTTATGTCATGGTTATTTGGTTAACTGATTAGTGGTTAACCGGAATTTCGGTTAACCGATACCCGGTTAACCGATGTAATGGTACGTATATTGGTATTGAAAATATATTAACCGAACTCTCGGTTAACCGGAAGTTGGTTAACCGATAGACGGTTAACCAACCGTGCCCACTCCTACCCCCATCCCATTAAAGATGAGACATGAGTAGTGACACAATTATTAAGTATAAATGAAGCAAGAACATAGTGATATTAAATTAAGTTTGTAATGTATAAGTGAAGCAAGAACAAAGTGAAACCACACAAATATTACCAAATATGGTATTAAACAAACTTAGTGTGACTGACGATAAATGAAAGGTGAAAACAAGGATATTGGGACGGGGAGGGTGTATGAGACAATAGTTATTTCACAATACATGACATTCATATTTAGGGTCATGGTTTGAAAAGGCGCTTATAGGGCGGGTTTTGAGGTGCGGTGAGTTGTACAAATTGGGTGTCAGGGCTTAGGTGTTTTCGCATGTCAAGAGCCTCACGCCTCAAAAGTTGAGGCGTGCGCTTTGAGGCATGCCCTGAGGCGTTTTATGAGTTGGTTTCCTTTGTTTCTCTGTTATTAATGTGCACTAACTTAAAAAAGGCCCAAGGTACTTCATTTATTAAAAAAGCTCAAAGCTTTTTTTAAATAGAAGTCCATATATTAGTATATTACACATGTGGCCACACTAAACCCTTCAAGTCTTATTTCGTGTAAAGTGTAAACCCTACCTAACAAGGCTTTTATTCATTTAAACCTTAAGTCCCTAACTTTTACGTTTTATTCATCTTTGAAATATCTCCATTCTCCTGCGCAAAGAAGTCTCCATTGTCCTGCATAATCCACAACTTCTTACACATTTAGGGATGACCTTAATGTCCTTGATGTTGGTCTTTTTGGAGGTGGACCTTCACAGGAAGGTCAAACAAAAGAAATTTTAAGTAAGCAGATGGATATGTTTGTATATCTTTACTCCTTTAGTTGTTTGTTACGAGTTAACCTGTTTTAAGTTTTATACTCCGTACTACGTATATTGTATATTTTGAGGCCTACGCATCGCCTCTTAAGAACAAACCGCCTTGATACCCGAACTGGCCTTTTTAAACCTTGTTTAGGGGATGTTTGGAACTTTGGATTTACTTCTTAGAACTGCTTTTGCTCCTTAAGGGAGCGGAAGCGGATATCAAGTATGTTTGGATGAAAGTGCAAAAGTACTTCTAAGTGCTCTAAATTGCTCTTGAAAAAAGTTTTTTAGAAGTTGGAGGAGACCAACTTCTGAAAAACTAATTCTGATTTTACTTTTGCTTTTAAAAAAAGAAGCATAATCAATTCCAAACACCCTTTAAATTTTTGTTTCTTTATTGTAGGTTTGAGCTTGATATGTCATTTATTAGTGTTATTTATGGGGTTAGTAAAGCATCAACCAAGGTATATCCATGGGTGTCAGGGGGTGTCTTGTGAAATAGAGTTTGCAGACAGTTGCTAAATCTCCATGCTTCCTGCTATTTCGTGCCAAATTGTAGCTCCGTCCCAAACAATTAAAACAAGTCTTTTTTCAATACTAAAATTAGTATTACAAACATGAACTTTCCGAAACAAAAGGAACATACTATATCCTTATTCCTTGTGCATGTAGTTTTCATTTGTGGTGAGCATGAACCGGTTTAAGTGGATTAAAAGTTTAGTTTGCAATCCTGATCTGCAATCCGATCCGTGATGCTTCTAATACAAGCCGGACAACGTGGATTGGGCAATCAGATCCCCCATCCTATTTGTGAAAAAAACTGAACTAAGTATATGAATCATTATGATTAAAAATTATGGATTCCATAGATTCATAATTAAGATTTGAACCTCTGATGGTAACACTTGTGCCTCAGAGTTTTGTATTACTACTCTCCACAGATTATTTTAATTAAGATTAATCTCTTATATTACTTCTCCACAGGAGTTTCGCAAAAGCGATCTCAATATGGTCGCTGGAGGTCTACATTCTCAGAGCAATCCATGGCAGAATGCTGCTGCACATCTTGTGTGCTCACCTGCGTGGTAGAAAAACAGTTGGTAAATCATGTGAACAATGCAGCTGTTGGTTTTACCCATTGGACTTGGTTCTTCAGGTTTCTGGGGCAGATATAAAAGTGGCCGTCCTCTGACCATGTCTGTTGGATATTGTTGTTCTTCTAAGCTGACATTTGTTCTGAAAAAAACTGGGAAGGATGACACTGCTATCTACTCCTATAAGTTAAGACAATCCTCCACCTCACAGTTGACCAGAAGAAGTAAATTTGGATCTGTGCATCCGACAATAAATTACTGTTTCCTTTGTTATATCGTATGACCATCTGTAATGTAAAGAGTGAAAAATGTTAAAAATAGGCATTTTAGGTTCGTGAGTAAATGAAAAAGTTGGAGTGACCCCTTTCGGTCAAAAAGAAAAAGGACAATAATTTATGGTTGAGATGCATTTGGTACTGTTTGAATGGGAAAATGATTGAACAGCTCAAATTAATACAGTAATACCAATGGTTAAAATAATGAAATTTTACTTGAAACGTCTGGTCGGGGTTGGGGGCCCTCAGGGATGGGATGCCATCCTTTTTTATGAAATTTTACTTGAAACTATTTAACTTATGCAACTCACTGAATGAAGACCAAAAAAATAATTTTATTTATTTTGAAAAGTTTAGTTTTTAGTTCTATAGTTCTTCAGAAAAAAACATTATGTATACTATCTCTGTCCCATAAAATTCTTCCCACTTTGACTTGCCACAGAGATTAAAGAAATGGAATAAAGTGGAAATGTATGGTTGTGGTTGTGTAAGAAAAATGTGAAATGAACGTGAACTACATAAATTGTCTAAAAATGGTAAGTGAGAAGAACTTTTTGGGACGGCCCAAAAAAGAAATTGAGAAAATTTTATGGGACGGAGGGAGTAATAATTTAAGTACGTTTTATGAAAAGTTTTGAGTACGGAGTAGTATTTATGAACTTTATATGTGAAAACATGAGCATTGGATCTTGATTTTGATGGTGTCAGGAAAAACTGTATCCCCTTCCTATATTTGCTAGATGTACACCATTTGGTACCTCATTTGTACCCTCTTCATATATTTGTGATTCACAAAAGTTCAACACATTAAATGAATTGCTCCATTTTAATGAAGTGCCTTTGTGAACCACAAATATAGGAAGGAGGTACAAAATGGGGTTAAAGTTGAGATAACAATAATATTTGTGTATTTGGAAATATGTTGTATTTGTATAAAAAGAATTGATATTTGAGTGTATTGACAATGCAATGCAGACAGCCTAAGTCTAAAGTACTGTCACGTTCTCAGGTTGCTTCATATGTGACTAGGGTTGTAAACAAACTGAATCGAGTCGAATAATGAGATTTTGTATTTGTATTTGTTTAATTTTTTCGAATACGAATTCGAATTCGAATTCAAATATGAAATGAATATAAATTTTGATTTGTATTTGTATTTGTTTAATAATACGAATAGTTAACGAATCATATACGAATATCGAATCGATTTGAGCATAGGTTAAATATTAGTCAAATATCACTCTAAAATAACTTTTCTTATACTCCGTATTTTTTATGTTGTAAATGCATGCTACGACTTAATATGTGTTTTTAGAATTTAAATTAATGGATTAATGCATTTTTAAATGGTACACAATATACTAAAGTGAATTAATTTTATGAATAATAAATATAAATCTATTTCAATTTTTTTGAAATAAACACTAACACACACATATTAGAAATTACGAGTATTATACTTATAATGTGTGAAATAAGTTGATAATTGTATATATCAAAGTCAAACAACTCTAATTTTATTCTTCAAATCGAACACATAATTATTTGTATTGTATTTGAAAGACATTTGAACCAAAACAATTGATTTGTATTCGTATTTATATTCTGACTTATTACAAATGGACTTGGAATCTGTATGCAAAAGTGTATATATGGGCTACACTTTGAGGGTATTGCTATCTTTTAAAAGTTATTAAGTTTTATTACTATTATTATTAATATTGTTATCAATATTACCATTATTATTAATCGAATATATTTGATTAATATTCGAATCGAATACACTGATATTCTTATTTGTATTTGATAACAACTCGAATCAAATTTAATATTCTTATTTTTATTTGTATTTGAATTTTCCGAATTCTAATCGTCTTTTACGAATTCGAATCGCGAATCGAGCACAAATTATTTGATTCGTTTAAAACCCTATATGTGACTGAACGTTGAGTCTTTGGAGTTCTCGAAATTCTATTCAAATTACTGAAGTTGAATTTTTGAAAGATATATGAAGATAGAAGGGTCTTCAAGACCATTTCAGAAATAGAAATTGCCCAATATAGGAGTAAACATAAACATAATTGCACAAATAGGAGTAAAACTTAAAACTTCCTTCAATAGGAGTAAACATTAATTTTGTACCCTTAATATCCCTAACCTAGTTAATTCTAAAATATGACTTATTTAATCTTAACCTAGTTAATTTATGACTTATTCGATAGTAATAATTTATTTATTTATTTATTTTTCAAAAAATAAAAAAAAAATATTTTTTTTTAAAAAAATAAAAAACTCAAAAAAATAAAATAAAATTCACTGCCTCCTCTGCTGCCTCTGCACCACCACTTCCAGTTAGGGTTGTTAACGAATCAAATAATTTATGCTCGATTCGCGATTCGAATTTGTAAAAGGTGATTCGAATTCGGAAAATTCAAATACAAATACAAATAAGAATATTAAATTTGATTCGAGTTGTTATCAAATACAAATAAGAATATCAGTGTATTCGATTCGAATGTTAATCAAATATATTCGATTAATAATAATGATAATATTAATGTCAATAATAATAATAATAGTAATAACACAGTAATAACTTTTAAAAGATAACAATACCCTCAAAGTGTATCCCATATATACACTTTTGCATACAGATTCCAAGCTCATTTGTAATAAATCAGAATATAAATACGAATACAAATCAATTTTTTGGTTCAAATGTCTTTCAAATACAATACAAATAATTATGTATTCGATTTGAAGAATAAAATTGAAGTTATTTGACTTTGATATATATAATTATCAAGTTATTTCACACATTATAAGTATATATAATTTCTAATATGTGCGTGTTAGTGTATATTTCAAAAAGTTTGAAATAGATTTATATTTATTAATCATAAAATTAATTCACTTTAGTATATTGTGTACCATCTAAAAATGCATTGATCCATTAAACTTAAATTCTAAAAAACACACATTAAGTCATATAGCAAGCATTTACAACATAAAAAACACGGAGTATAAGAAAAGTTTTTTAGAGTGATATTTGACTAATATTTAACTTATACTCAAATCGATTCGATATTCGTATATGATTCGTTAATTATTCGTATTGTTAAACAAATACAAATACAAATCAAAATTAATATTCGTTTCATATTTGAATTCGAATTCGTGTTCGAAAAAATTAAACAAATACAAATACAAAATCTCATTATTCGACTCGATCCGGTTCGTATACAACCCTACTTCCAGTCACCAGGGGGAAAAATGCCAAGTTCGTTACGAATGTCATATTTATGGCAGAAAATAATGAAAATGTTGGCATTCGCAAAGAGAAATATGCCATGTTTTTGGCATTTTCAGAAAAAATGGCAGTTTTTAGTAAAAATGGAATTTTTTTCACCGCCCGGAGGTGGTGGTCCAGGAAGGTTGTACAGGCGGTGGGAAAGACATCCATATATTTTTTTTAATTTTCTTTATGGAGTTTTACTATTTTTTATTAATTTTTTAAAAAACTAAAAAATTTAAAAAAAAACTTTTAAATTTTTTTACTTTATTAATATTTTTTATAATTTTTTTAATTATTTTTCTACGAATTTTTGTTTTTTTCCGAATTTATTATGAATTAAACATTTTATTAAAAGTTGTTGGGGCTTAGGGCTTGGGTAGGGGTATACTTGTCCAAACACTAAAGTTACTCATATTCAAAACATGATACTCCTATTTTTGCATTTTGCCTATGTTTTGCTCCTATTTGGGAAATTCACTTTAGCTAAAAGTAACTTGTATTTCTCCGCTCAGTGGTTAATGCAATGCTTTATTATTTCGATTTTGAGTACTAGTATTAAATTTTCATCATGAGCATTGATTTAAGCCCGTCTGGTGACTTAGTTTTTCGATTATCAACCTCATCAATTCACATTTTCACCGATCATGTAACTTTTGATTTCGTGCGTTGGATCGTATAATAATCAAAATAAATGTCATTGGAGTTACTTTTCTGACTACATTGACTGGAGCTATTATAAAGAATCATTTTAGCTATTTTTCCATTTTTTTTATTTTATTATTAAAATATATTTTAAATATTTTTTTCATAAATTCGTGGAATCATCAACCCCGTCACTTCAGTTAGAACTTCATGTATTTCAGCCGATTTAGTTGATTCAATCAATTTCAGTGTTATCAAACGGGCTCTTATATTATATTCAGATCACCAAATATATCTATTTCAATCTCCAACTAATTCAGCCAATATGTTCAAACAGATCACTCCTTGATTATAGAATGATAGAAAACCTAGAGGCTGGTAATATCAATAATTAAGTAGAAATAAGAGGTTCCCAAACTTCTACTAGCATCTGAGGTCAACTTAGCTTAAGATTTGTCTTACTTTTCTCGATCACAAGCATTTCTTCTATTCTGTAAAAGTTAAATATTTTTGAGTTAAAAGAGCATATCTATGTATGTTTGCTTCTATTAAACGCTATACTACTAAAACACATTCTTAAACTGTAATAAGCATGCACTTTCTCTTTTAGATCAAGGACAAAGTATTGGTCATAAGAAGATGCGTAAGATTGAAAATATGCACCACCTAACAAGGTATCCTACAACAAACAAACTCTGCTTATGTGAATTATCATTTAAAATGTGAAATGCCACTTTACTTGTATAAGTTTAACTGTCCGATCAGTGTTGGGGCTTTCTCGGGGATGAGGTGTCGTCCTTTTTTTAGGAAATCGACGCAGACAATCTCTTGCATGGAAAAAGAGACAAGGTCCCTATGGTCAATGCCACATGCATGATGATAATCATGAATTCTCCATAACCCCTTCAATCATAACCACTCTTTCTAGAAGCTAGAATACTAGATAGATACATTACATCTTATTTGACACTTGCTTTTGTACTTTGTTTTCAGATACACGTGCACATCACTTATGGGTGTTGATAGGTAAGCTTGAGCTTGTGCTTGATCGATTAAACATATTTTCTCGATCAATTGAGTCGTGCTATGATTCATTCGTTTTTCATAGAAATAATGATTATAAACTGATTAAATTTGATTTCATATTAAGACTTGAAATTCCATCTTAAAAAACATTGATAAGAAGAATAGACCAACATCTTTATATTGTACTTTTTTCATTCCTTTTTAGTTAGTCATCTTTGA